TATAATGGCAATAGTTGAACATAACTTTTGAAGGAGTATAAGGTGTACTTCGACCCCTAAGGCTAGCAAGGTAAGTAAATTAGAATTAGAAAATAATATTAAGAAGTTTTGGAACTTATATTTTGGCCTAAAACAGTTCTAACATAGATAATGAAAGATAGAAGGAAATTAGGGTAGATATATAATGATAATTAGAGATACAAAGAGTAACTAAGAAAGAATAATAACAAATATATTATTAATATGGAGAGAGAAAATGAAAATGAGTATAAGGTAAAAATATATATAATGATAAAATATGAGTAACCAAAGAGATGAAGCTCAAGAAAGGTAAGAAATGGTGGAGTAAGTGAAAATGCACTAAGATAATAATGTTAAGAAATTGTGTTATTATTTATGTTGAATAAAAAATTGGTGTTGCCTCTTCCAGATTATTCTTCTTACTTAGCTGTCCTCTCTTTCTTCTTGTCCCTGATTTATTCACAATTGTTGTTTGTTCCTTTCTTTTGCTTTTCCTTTTATCCCTTCTCCTTTCTCCCCTTCCCTTCCTGCTCTTCAATATGCCTGGATTCACTTTCCATGCCTTCCTGAAAGATCTCTCCCTTCCTTCAACATTGTTACTATCTTGGCCCAGCCCCCAATTATTTCCTATCTCTATGGTTGATAGTTCCCCATCCCTATTGATGCCTTATCTCATTCAACCTATCTTTCGGGCCTAAAAATCAACCGCCCTTCTGGCCCATTCCTCTCTAGCCCGACGTTCTCAGCCCTATCTTGATGATCTTCATTTTCAAATCCGCCTTTATTACTCCTCTCTCTCCTTCACTGATCCTTTCTGAGAGGTCACGTGTCTCCGCCACCCTGACCAATATTGTTCAAGCTGAACCGAGGAATTGACCTTTAACTTGAAGTTTTCAACCCTGATTTGATCTAAGCAGTGCTCTAGCTCTTTTTCATTATTCACCTCTAGAAATTGCACAAACCTGAATCAGCTTCCTATTTTATCCTTGCTCTTCAGGCTGTAGATTGCATGTACTGCCAAATTTCAAAAAAGTCTTCTACATTTCTTCATATGTCCAACCATCTGGGAAACTGGTGAAGAAAAGACACAAAAGCTTGCTTGATTGTTAGGATTCCAATTTATTGGGAACCAAATCCCTGTTTTCTCTAATAATAAAGCAAATAATAACCTAGGCCGAGTGATGTACTACCTTATCATATAATTATGCAAGCGGATTAAATAATAAAGCAAAATAATAAGGAAGAAAGAAGAACACTAAAAGTGAAAAACTCTCAAAGTGACGGAAAAATCATAGTGAAAGAAGAGAAAAATTCACTATTAAGAAATAGTTACAATATTAGAAGTTCATTCTGAATTGACTAAAAAGTCATTTTCAACACTTTAATTGGATAGGGGAATCTCACTATCTTGATACCCAAAGAGAATGGAGACACTCTCATCACCCGGATAAAGTGGGTTTAAACCAGACCACTCTTGATGTTTGAAGACACTTAAAATTTTAATGGTTTTTTTTTTTTTTTTTTTTTTTTTAAATTTAATTTATACTTACAGTAGAGGGTGAGGGTTAGCAAAGAGATTTGAACTTTTGATTTTGATCCAAAATCAAGTTTTTTAACTTAGTAGATGTTAACTTGACCAAGTTCTTATTAGTATAATTTTAGAGTTGCTAATAACACATTTATATTAGGTTACAACTACTGAAATTTGGTTTGGAGTAGAAATTCTAATTACACTCTAAATTGAATTCAACCAAAAAACTAAACAACTCTCCTCGTAAGAAACAGTTCCTACCGCACAAAGGAATTGTGGTCAAGGCTTAAGGTTTCAAAACTTATTTTCAGTTTCAAGAAGTTTGCAACACTCTACCCCTTTTTCCCGTTATTTGATAAATTACAAATCTCCACTTGAATTCAAGGCACAATCCCAACAATCTCTGTTTTGATCTTGAATTCTTCGAATACTCTCCCTTGAATGAAGGACTCCTCCTCCAACTTGAACCTCTTTCTTTTTGTGTCATGGCAAACCGTCCACCACTAAGCTCTCTTATCCATGCGAGTGATCCATGTGATCAATTAATCACACAATTATTACTAAATATCAAGGATTGATATCATCCTTCTTGTAAATATTCCCACTTCACCTTGACACGCTAGCTAACCCACCCTACACACTACTACACGTTAGCAAGGCCTTGTAATTTTTTTCATACAAAATAAATCAACTCGTCTAACTAAAACAAAGAATGCAATAAATTAAATGGAATTAACATTGTTTTGAAATTCTGATCAAATTGGTTAGTTCAACTGATTTAACCAAAATTGGTCTTAAAAACAAGTTAGTGAATGGTATTAACCTGGTAGTAATCAAACCCAATTGATTTTAAATTTTAGACCGGAATTGGTTCATTTTTAACATTTTCTCTTTTTTTTTTCTTTAATTTTTATATTTATTTATTTTATAGATAATATAATAATTACTAAAGTTTAAAATTTATTTAAAATCAAATTAATACTAATAAATGAAAATTTTTAAATTAATTTAAATATAATTTGAATCAACTTTAAAAAATAAAATTAATTTGAAATTAAATTACTATTTCAGGTTAGAGAGTAAAATTAATTTAAAATCAAATCAATTCGATTTTGAAAATAAAATAAATGACTACTTAAGTTAATGAAATGAATTAAATTAATTTAAAATTAAAAAAAAATCTCAAGCAAATTTAGA